TGGCTTTTATTTAAAAGTTTTTTGCATCAATAATTAATTCCTTTGCCAAGAAAATTAAAAAATATGGAGGTTCCTTTGTTATTTTTAGTTTAATGATTTTTTGTTTTATCATTTGCATCAATATTTGTTTCTAAAAAAAAGGTTGGAGCTTTATTTAAAATTAATTGATAAGTTAATAATGAATCAGGCATCAATTTATGATTGCATTCATGACCGTTATACATTTTTGAAACAATTGGCCAATTTTAATTCCAGAATTTATTGGCAGTCTCATTTTTGGCTGGTTACTACAACATTATTTATTATTTTGTTTTTTCTTTAGTTCCATTATGATAATTTGTGCCTCTTTGGTATATAAAATAAAATATTTATATACAGTTTTAATGACTACAAAAAAAGTAATTAGTTATTATTGTTGCATCATCGTGCACAGCGCCAATTTTTCAGAAGCTCGATAAGCCTAAGATGCAATGGCAATAAAATTATGACGTTATTATTATCGAAACATATGATAGAATTCTTTAAGCTTTTCATCTTCATATTCATATAAAACAATGGGACTGGAATGAATAAACAACTTCCATTTGCAATAGAACTAAAATATTTATTCGTAATTATTCACTTTATTCGAAAATCATTCGTTTATTCTTTATTCGAATCATTCGATCGTTCTTTTATTCGAATCATTCGTATTGTTCTTTTATTCGAATTATTATTCGAATTATTCGTTTTAATAAACTTTCAATGTAATTAGAATAGAAATTCCAGTGTTTTTATATTATTTAGATAGCAAAGAAGCAAGAACCATTATCATTAAAAAATTGATGTCTAGAAATTGCAAGTTTGGGAAGAATTTCATCAAAATAAACATTTTATAATTATTATTTTTTAATTCTGCTAAAGTTAATCTAGTGAAAGAAAGTTGTAGAATGATTCAAAATGTTGATTTTTTTTAAAGAAATTTCATCAATTTGTTTCGTGTATCATTTTTTAAATCAAACTTTATGTATGATAAGAAAATCGAGTCTCAAAAAATTTTATTTTTACATTTATTTTATTAATTGTCTTTAATAAAACTAAAACATTCAATATCAAAGAAAATAAACCAAGCATTCAACAACAAATAACCTGGATATTTAAACAACAATATTGATATTTTTTATCTTTTTCATTTTTGTCAATTAACAGTATTGATAATTTTCCATTTTTATCAATTGATACGTTCTATCCATATTCAGCAAATAATTGTGGTGAGTATTGATTTATAAATCACGGGAACAAGTTACACGTGATGAAAATCGGAAGTAATGGAAATACTAATACTAATAATAAAGAAAATTACACAGAAAAATAAAAAAAAAACTAATTTTAAAATGCACAACTTTTCCTCCCGTAATATTGCGACTTGATGTCGTACACAATTTCCGCGAGGTCTCATTTTCTTTTTAAAAAAAAGAGGGGCACCCCGATTAAGTAAAAAAAAAAATTTTTTAAAATATTTTTAAGCAGAAATTAATAAAAAATCATATCATGTAATTTTTGATTTTATTAATGCCTCGTAAATATATACAAAAAATGTCATTTGATGATTTAATAAAATTTCTCTTAAATAATGAACAAATTCTTCTTCATCGACTCCACAACTATTCTTGAGGTTGGAGTTTGCCTTTATTTATACTAATGTACATTGTTTTTATGCTGTATAAAAAAAAAACTCGAGAAAAAAAGTTTTTTTGGATGTACCCTGGTGGAAAAGATAAGAGTTTTTCTGACGGAAATACATTTCACGAATTCAAACCGGTTAATTAAGTGTTACTTAAACAACATAATAATAATGAATCAATGAATTCATTATCTCATTCTAAATTCTGTTTAAAAGAGAGAATAATAAAAAACTGTCCTTGTTCTTGTCTTTTGATTCTTGATTTGTAATTTTATAATGACAATAAACCTATCCTCAACGATGAAGTAATAAAAAGGACTAGCCTTCATATTAATCACATGCATAATTATTTTCTGTTATTTTATATTTTTCATTATTCTTTTTTATTCTTTTTTTTTTTAGCAAGATATTAAGAACGGACAACATAGAGTGAAATCTAATGAGAGAATTTTTAACTGGTGAGTGGCTCTAGATGGACGTAAAATGAAACTTAGATAGAGAATTGTATAGTTTCGAAAATGAGACATAAATATATTAATAAATTATTCACACTAAATTATTATCATCATTTGTGACTCAGTTTAATATTAATATTTATTGTCAATTTCCACAATTTCCTTTTTTTATGTTAGGGAACAATCTGTATTTCCATGATATTTAATCAAATATTATAGGAAATTTCGTGGGGATGATCTTTATATGGGGCATACTGCAAAAAATCGGACAAAGTGAACATTTGTATTTCAGGGTTTAAAATTTTGTGATCTAAATTTTTATATTGCAAGATCGTGTCCGAGTCTTGGTGATGATAATATATTTAAAGTCAATACTAATACAATAATACAATTTCTTCCCATTTATTTATACTAAATCGTAACAATTTCCGCGAATGTACATTTATGCTTTACTATCAAAACCATCCTTCTTTGTCGTTAAACAATTCCTTGTTAAGCAAATACTAAACAATATCTTCTTTAGATTCCGCACTATATTCTGATAACGTTTCTTGAGAGTACCCTTCACGCTGTTACTCCCTTACTGAAGTCAGGTACTTCGCTAAATAAAATATTACCTATTAAAAGAAAAGATAAATATAAAACAAGAGAAAATTAATTTATGCACGGATCAGTATGAATTCATTGGAGATGGGTTTATTATCAATACAAAAATATAAAATTTCAAAGACAACAAGGACAAGGATAAGAACAGTTTGTTATTTGTTAAATAATTATTGTTAGGAACTTTTTATGATAATGATAATGATGGTGATAATGATACACAAAGTCAAGAAAGTTACAACGTCATTTAATGGTCCAATAAGCTCTTTGATTTCCCGAGAATTCTAATTAAATTTATTCCTTAAACATAATTTGAATCTTCCGTGTAAAATCATTCTCGAGTTATTTTTAGAGTGAACAGATGATTTAAATTCCTTCGTTTGAATAGAATTTGGGTAGTATTACAATAATCTTCCTCGATAATTTCCGTGAGTTAATTATTTTATTGGTTTATTACATTGATTGAGCAACGCTAACAAATATGGCTGGTTTGAATTCTTGAAGTATTATCATTATTAATATAATAATATAATAAATAATAAATAATAATAATAAATAATAATAATAAATAATAATAATAAATAATAAATAATAATAATAATAATAAAATATTTCCGTGTTTTTTCCCGTTTCTTTTCGTGCAACTTTTGTAAATCATTTCCGATTTATTCATTGATCCATAAAATCACTATTACTAATTTAATTCTGACCTTCCATTATTTCATAACATAATTTAAATTTGTGATGATTGTAATTAGTCTTCTAATAAAAGAAAAAGGTAGTGGATTATTCTTCAATGTTAATAATTGTCATTAGAGACCATTATAATTAAACCCGTGCTCAACCCAGACTCGCATCAAATCATAATTTCTAAACCCGGACCCATACCAGCCCGGTTTATAAAAGATCAAAAAAAGTTTATTTTTTTCATTACTTATAAATAAAATAACATTTATTAAGATGCACCTCACAACACAAGTACACTGTCCACTGTTTGTAGATTCAAAGCTGATTGATGGTTAATCCTGCTGCACTAAATTCCCTCTCTAGAAGATGGGACTGAAAGATAATTAGCACTTAATATTGCAGGCTTTGGATATTGGAGTTGATGATATTTACACCATTGTAATATAACCAAATCCATATCCTTTTGTATTTTCAATAATGAATACTGACCAATCTCATCTGTATTATTTTCATCATCATCATCATCATCATCATCATCATTGAAACAACAAGGACTACAATCAAATTCATATTTAAAAAATACCATTCGCAAATTAGCTTCAAAAGATTATACCATCCTTCAACCCAACATTTACACCTTTCCCTTCGAATTGTTTATACCTGGCGATTTACCAGAAACAATAGAAACTGATCTAGGGAGTGTCTCTTATAAATTGAGCGCAACTCTCTTTAGATCAGGGTTTTCGTCAAATTTACACGTGTCACAACAAGTGCCTATAATACGTGCTTCTATGCCCGAAGAAATAAATTTTGAAGGCATTGTCACTTATAGCGAGTGGAAAGATTTATTCGGTTACGAAATCTTGATACCGAAAAAAGCATACCCCATTGGTCGACCTATAGAAATATGTTTGAAATTAATACCAAAGGTCAAAAATTTAGATTTTGTTGAGTTAAAAGTAAAGCTAAAAGAAAGTTGTATTTACAAATCAAAAGATCGCAAGAAACAAGAATCAAAAGTTTTAAAAACTGTGAAAATCGAAAATTTGGATAAAAGGATCGACGAAATTAATAATCTTATTTATCATAAAAATATTTCATTTATTTTACCAAAACCATCAAAAAAAATTCACTCGTCATGCAAAACAACTTTTATCTCGATAAGACACTGTTTAGAATTCATATACACCATAAAAACTTCTCCCAGCTCCAATATTTACAATGGTGATAATAGTAATAATAATAACATCACTATTAACGCAGATGGCGATAATAACAATGATAATGATGAAAATCGCAAGCAATTATTCATAACGAGATCATTGCCAGATTTTGAAAAGAAGAAAATAGATGTTAAAGTTGATATACCGATAATTTTATTTTCTTGTAAATATTACGATGATTTGCCTCAATATGAAAGAATCAATTATGGTCATGACGAAAATAACGAATTTTCATATTTCTTTGAAAGTGATAATAGTTATAATAATAATAATAATAATAATAATAATAATAATTTATTATTTAATTATTCTCCACCAAATTATGAAAATTCTGAAGAAAATTACATAATGAACATTTAATTATCCTCCCTACTTTTCAAACATTTCTCCCATAGTATTAGTAAAAACCCAACTTTTACTACCTTTTAAAGAAAGTTATATAAAAAGTGTTTTATTTATTTTCTCGATTAGCTCATAGCGCCACTGCGCCAAATTCTAAAATCGCTTGATTTTTTTGTATGCGTGGTAAAGTGCTGGATAGAATTAAGAACCCTTTATACATACACTGCCTGGAAGAAAGTATCGGAACCTCATTTTTTATTAATTACACAAAAAACTACAGAATAGTTATACAGAAAATTTAGATCAGACCGTATCTCAGGGCGTCGAGGATATTTATATAAAATTCCACACTTCTATCATTCATATTTATTTTGGTTTAAAAAAAAACAAACTTCAATTAAATAAAAAAAAAACATTAATCATCAAAATAGAAACAAATTTAGTATTTTATTGGCCATCTATTATTGGATATGCATGCCTCGATTCTTCTTGATGTGCTTTCGATTAGTTTGTTATAACTTCTTCAAGAATGTTAGACCATTCCTCTTGCAAAGCAATATCCGATTCTTGAGCATTTTTGAGATGATTTTCACGTTTTTTTAATCTTCTTTCCAAAGATGCTCAATTGGATTGAGATTCAGGAGATTGCGATGGCCAATTAAACAAAATGTTTATGTTGTTATTTATTTCTTATCCAACTTTGCACATTTTTTGCGGCATGCATTGGTGTATTGTCATCCTTAAATTTGTATGCTCTTTGTTCTTTTTAAAGACAACGAATTTCTTAATCAATTTTTTATTTTTGTTTAATAACAAACTCTTTACCGATAGAAAAGACATAAAATTTCGAAATAATATTTTAGAACTTAAACTACAAAATAACAGTAAAATTCTGCGAAAATACAAATTCAAAAAATATCCAAAAATGAAGTTTGTTTTTTTTTTAACCAAGAAATAAATATGAATGATAGTGTGGAATTTTATATAAATATTCTTCAAGACCTAAGTTACATGATGGTATAAATTTTATTATAGTTATTATGTAGGTTTTTGTGTAAGTAATAAAAAATGAGGTTTCGATACTTTCTTCCAGGCAGTATACGTAATAATAACTAGTAAAACTCATAAACCTCAAATGAATAGAACTCGTGACCCAATAAAATTTTTGGGAGAAGGGCTCTATTGGTTTGTTGTTTTACCTTCAAAATTTCATTTAATAAATGATTTTAAATAGAATCACTGGTTCGTTTGGGTTCTATACTTTAGTAAGGTGGTAAAAGGTTGTGATTGTAGGTCTCGCTCACACCATATAATTTTGTAAATTAATAGGTTATTTATTTTAAATTTAAATGTAATCATTTCAAGTAAAGTTTCTTCTTGAATACCAATCGGGGCCAATATCCTTTAGGATTTATCAAATTGTGCCATTCGCATCTTTAATAATCAACTAATCTGTCTCGGCCTAATACTTTTCGGCATATCAATGGTATTGCCGTTATCATCTTCAGGATTTATTAAGTATTTTTCGCAGAAATTATCTGCAACTGCAGCATATTATTCTTCAATTCATCAATCCAAACAACAATCTTTTGGATTGATTTCATCAAAATCGGCAATTAAGGAGGAATATGTTTTGATTTAGAGGAGGGACAAAAGTAAAGTAGATAATTTTGATAATTAATAATAATTTTTTTCATATCAACTAAATTTACATGACTCTACCTAATTGGCATCGTGACGACAAATTGGGTGGTAAAGTGGACTATATATATATTAGCATTTATTATTAGTTGCTATAATGATAGTTAATAATAGTAGTATTAGTGCGATGGCTATTTTAATTGGCCATTACGATAATTTTATATTTACAGAAATAGTATTAAGGAAATGATTGTAATAACAACTTGGTTTGTATTTTACAAAAATAAATCATTTATATAAAATTTTTAAATCTAGTTGTTACATTATAATAAATTGATTAGTTAATTAAACTTTAAATTAAACAGGTATTAAATCTAACTATTACGTAATGTAATTGATTGATTTAATAAAAATTTTTTAATAAAAATATTTTTTTTCTCTTAATAAGGTGGATCTATCACTACTCAAAGTTGGAGTAACAGGTTGATCAAAAACGGCAGATTTTCTATGATCTCTAAGAGTTGCTATAGCGGTGTCTTCCAATGTGTACGGTATGACACCTAAGTCTTCAAAAGTTTTTACATCTTTACTGTTTGAAATCTTTTCATCAATAAAATATCTTACAATTTCATCAGGTGATATAAATGGCCATGGTGATAATCGTAGTAGGTTGGTGATGGCAATTGCTAGTGGTTTTGGTACATTGATTCGTGTACGTCTAGTTATTAAAATTTCATCTGCAATGTCATAAAGTTGATTCATTGTGTATTCTGTTGGACCAAATAATTCATAAGTTTGTCCTATGGTTGATTCATCTTTTAACATTAATTCAAGTGCATGCGCTACATCGAGCACCTTTATTTATTTTGAGGAAGGAAAGAGAAAATAAATAATTGTTATGATTTCTTGAGTAAATTTTTTTTGGTAAAAAAAAACAAACAAATAAATATTTGTCTTCATACATTAACGGGCCTAAATCTCGTTTTTCCTTTATTAACAGTCAATTCAAATTTACCTAAAACTATAAAAATAATAATAGTTGGAGTTATTATTAATAAATTGTTTTCGTAACAAGATCCAACTGAATCTCTTGTAGGCGATGATCCAAGGGAAAAAAAAGTGTTAAATTATTTCTAACCTCCCATCCTATTCAAAAATCTATCTTCATAACCAAAAACAATACTAGGGCGAACATTGTCGCACATTCTGGAACATAGTATGTTGGTTAATTATAATAAAGATGGTGATGATAATAATATGGATAACAATAACAATGGCAACAATAATAAAAATGATGATGATAATTTTAAATTAAAAAAGGTATGAAGAGATAAAGAAATTGATGATAATAAATTATAAAAAGATTTTTACTTCTTTAATTTTATTTTCTATATATTTTTAACATTGAAAGTTTTCAATTTTATCAGATAGAGAAACTTAACCAATACATCAAATCACTTTCACCAACTAGAAAGAAAAGCTTTCATTAATTGTCTGGTGTGATTTGCTATTAAAAAATTAATTAAAGAAAAATTCAGTAATTTGTAATTATCATTGAAAAATCAATTAAAGATTTATTTGC